CACCACAATCATCATCATCACAATCACAGCGTCACCAGCATCATCATCACCACCACCATCATTATCACCACCACCACCACCGTCATCATCATCAGCAGCATCATCATCGTAGTCGTGGTCGTCGTCGTCATCCGCAGTATCATCATAATCAGCAGCATCCTCATCAGCATCAGCAGCATCATTATCAGCATCATCCGCATCAGCAGCATCGTCACCACCACCATCAGCATCAGCACCATCATCAGTATCAACAGCACCATCATGATCGTCATCATCATTATCATCAGCATGATCATCAGCAGCAGCAGCAGCATTAGAATCATCTGCACTATCATCAGCAGCAGCAGCATCCTCCGCATCATCATCATCTCGTCATCCTCAGCAGCAGCATCATCAACAGCAGCAACACCATCATCATTATCGGCATCACCATCCTTATCCTGCACAACCTCACCTGCAACAGCACTAGCAGCAGCACCAACATCAGCATCCTCATGATCATCAGCAGCGGCATCAGCATCCTGGTAATCCTGATTATCGTCGCGGTCGTCGGCATCGGCATCACCAGCACCACCACCACCACAACCATCGTCATCATCATCACCATCATCAGCATCATCACCACCACCACCACCACCACCATCATCATCATCATCATCATCATCATCATCATCATCATCATCATCATCATCATCATCATCATCATCATCATCATCATCATCATCTTCATCCTCATCCTCATCCTCATCCTCATCCTCATCCTCATCTTCATCATCCTTCAGTATGAGCATCCTCGTCACCACCACCATCATTGTCGTCGTGGTCGTCGTCGTGGACGTCGTGGACGATGTTGTCGACGTTGTCGTCCTCGTCGTCAACACCACCATCCTCATCATCATCATCATCATCACCACCACCACCATCATCAGAATCATTGTCATTATCATCAACACGGCAACCACCACCACCATCACAATCATCTTTCACCATCATCAGCATCATAATCATCATCCTCATCATCATCATCATCATCATCACCAGCAGTATCATCACCATCATCACCATCATCATCATCATCATCATCATCATCATCATCATCATCATCATCATCATCATCATGACCACCCTCATCAGCATCAGCATCATCAGCAACATCATCATCGTCGTCGTCATCACCCCCTCCCACCGTACATGTTCATCCCCTGCCTCCAGCTCGGCCTCCGCCGTCTCGTCCTACTCCTCCACCCTTTCCTCCTGCCCCGTCTGCCGCAACGAATCCCACCAACCCTCTGGGCCCGAGTGGCCCGAGGATCTCTTTCTGCTGAGCCCACTCTGCCCCCGTCGGGGCGGGGGCGCACTCGGACCATGACTGCCTTCGTCACCGTGCTGCGGCCCAGGCTTCGGTCGGCCGTGTCCCCCTACAGGCGGATTGTGGGCGAAAAATTTTAAAGTAGTCAACAATACCCAGAAATGGTTCAAACAAATCAAGGAAGGAGTCCCCGGACTATCTGACTTTTGATCATGCCTCCTGTCGAGGGACAAAGCCCGACTTGAGGCCCGGGCTCGCTCCCGCCAGGAACCGCCACCGTGCACACCCGGACCCGCCGGTGCCGCGTCGTGCCGCCAAAGGGCAAGCAAGGGCAGGCCGAGGCGTCCTGCCGCCGCGGCGCCGACGGGCGCGCCTCGCCCCGCGGGGGGGCCCGCTCGCCCCGCCTCGCCGGCGCGCCGCCACGGAGCGCGGGGGAGGGCGCGCCGGGGTGCGCCACGCGCCGGGCGGCGCGGGGCAGCGAGCTGGAGGGTCGCGGCGCGCTCCCCCTCGTCTCCCTCTCGCTCTGCCTGTCTTCCTCCCCCATCCACGTCCCCAGCTCCCACTCTCCACCTACTCGTCCTCGTCCTCCTCCTCCTCCTCCTCCTCCTCCTCCTCCTCCTCCTCGTCCTGCTTCCGTCCTCCTCTCTCATGTGCATCCGCTTCCTAACACGAGGATTTGGGAGGACGCAAGCAACTTCGATAAGGACGATGTGTGACAGAGAGAGAGAGAACACAACAAGTATGAATGTGCAGAAAGAGAGAGGAGAGATACAGACAGAGACGGCGAGCGAGCGAGCGAGGGAAGGAGAGAAGGAGCGAGAGAGAGAGAGAGAGAGAGAGCGCATGCACCTGGATGCCTAGATGCAGCTGTCTACAGGTATGCATGTACACACATCAAAGACATGTGTGTGTCTCTGCAGATTTACATATATATATATATACGTATACATAAACAATGTGTTTATAGATGCGTCTACGACGGAGAAGTCAGCTTAATATTCCCCTCACTCTTCTTCCCCCTCAACCTGTTGCTAAACGTGGTTCCTCTTCTGTTCCTGCTCCTCCTCCTCCTCCTCCTCCTCCTCAATCCTTGCTCTCTCCGATCTGAGCCGACAACCAATGTTCCGCAAGGGCTCGCTCAGAGATGAAGTCGCTCGCGGCCGTGGCAATACGGAGGTTCCAGCGATGAGGCGCCGCGTCCGCGAGGCGACCCGTCGCGACGAGGTCCCCAGCGGCGGGAGCAGGAGGAGGGCCGAAGGCTACAAGCAGCCACCAGGGCAAGACTGCTCCAAATTCCACTCGGGAACGGACTCTGGACCCCTCCCGAGGTCCCTCTGGACTCATTGATCGAGCCAGATACAGCCGTGGCGACAAAAAAGCCTCCTCCTCCTCCTCCGCCTCCGCCTCCGCCGCCTCCTCCTCGCCTCCTCCTCCTCCTCCTCCTCCTCCTCCTCCTCCTCCTCCTCCTCCTCGCCAGGGAGGGTCGCCCATCTTTCCCCCTGGAGAGAAGCGGCACAAGGCGCAAGACCCTTTGGCCGAACAGGCGGCAGGGGTGGGACCAACAGGAAGGGATGGACCCAGAGTGCCAGGAGGGGCCAGGCAGACAGGGATGGGTGGGGCAGCCAGCCCTGCTGGGACCACTGCGACCCTTCCTGCTTGCACGAGTGGCTGCAGGACAGGACGGGGAGGAGGACTTTTTGGCCCGAGGCGGAGACAGAGGAGGCCTGAAGGGAGCATGAGCTGCGGACAATGGCAGGATGACGAGGGGGGCGGGCAAAAAGGAGACCTCTAAATTCCTGAAGACCTCACCGCACGGTCTTGGGACCTCGGAGGCCACTGCCGCCCGTCCTCGGAGAACGCCCAAATAGGGGAACAAAAAGTAGCATAAACATAAAAACTCGGAGGTCCGCGCGGATTTCTCGGATCGGCGCTGGGGCCCCCGGCGGCGCCTCCGGCGCCGCCCCTGGCGCGCTCCGCGCGCCAGGGAGGGGGGTCCAGCGCCGATCCGAGAAATCCGCGCGGACCTCCGAGTTCTCATGTTTATGTCACTTTTTGCTCCCCTACCAAAACCCCAAAACCGTGCGGAGACCCCGAATTCCCACTGACTCACCACACGGTCACCGCACCGGTTTTTGTGAACCCCCGACAATCTCTCTCTCCTTGCCCCCGCTCGGACGCCAACCGCCCGTGCACTGCTCGGTTTCGTAAGTTCATTCTTGCCGCAGGATGACCCAAGATGCTCCTCGATGGTCCTCGCCGATGAAAAATGCACACGCTCGAGCAATGCACGGAGCTCTCTCGGGAGATGGCGGCCTGTGATTGACCAAATAGGGGACCCCTAACCCTTTGCGAGGGGACCCAAGTCAGGAGGGCCAGGAACATTCGGGACAGGCTTTTTTTTTCTGCAGGCGTATCGAACCAAACCGCCCAGAAGTATATCCCTGGTGCGAAGACGGGGACCTCAGCGAGGCTGCGTCCTCATCGTGCCATGAGGGTCAAGGGTTCTTTCATCCTCAATGAGCCTGGAGACTCGGCGCCCCAGTTGAGCAGGGACCGACCGTCCCGGCATTCCTATAGTCCTACCACGAAATGCTCGTAGAACCCAAAAATGTTTTAAGAACAAAAACAATGTTCTTAGAACATAAACCCGATGTGATAAAACAGGACAGTCCCAGCCAGAAATGTTCTAAGAACCGTTCGTGGGAGCCACAAAAGGTCCTTAGAACATTATTTGGTAGGGCCATAGGCACACCGAAACGCTTCGCCACTGCTTGACCCAGGCGCCCGTGCCACACAGAGCCCGAGATCCGGCGCGCCCCCCCGCGGCGCAGCCGAGAGCGCCGGGCGCCGAGCAGGTCTCAACGACCTGCCTCGAGCCCACCTCCTTTGACGAACGCACAGCACGCACCCATACCCATAGTTGGCGGCGAGCGAGGGGGGAGATGACAAGGAGAAGGCCTTCTCAGGAGGTGGCGGGGCTTCTCAGGAGCCCTCGCGCCTTCTGAGGAGTTTCCTGCGTCTTCGCGGAAGACTTAGGAAGCTTCTCAGAAGGACGGGGGACGTCCGAGCCTTCGGAGAAGGCCCGCCCCTTCTCACTCCCCTACCTCGCTCGCCGCCGACATAGGGGGCTGAGCGGGCTATGGGTGCTTGTTGTCGGGTGGGGGTCCCCGTTCGAACGGGAGCCTCTCCCAGGGCCCGACAACCCGCACCCACACCCATAGCCAGTCCTTCTCTCTCGGACCCTCCTATGGGTATGGTTGTGTGTTGGTGGTTCGTCATATCCGCCGAAGAAGTCACAACGACCTTACTCGAACCCACCTCTTTGCTTGCCATCGCTTGGACGTCCATCCACCGTGCATACTTCGTGTTCGCGCGTGTTGTTTCGTTGGCTCGATGAGCCACGATGTCCTCGAGGGCCCCCGCCGAGAAAAAACTGCAAACGCCCGGGCGATGCCAAGTCTTTGTAGCCGCCAGAGGGAGGAAGGAACGGGGGGGGAGGGAGCACCTGTGCGAGCGGAAAATCCGACTCGGGTGCGCTGGCCCGAAGGCGCTTCGCGTCGGCAGCCGAAGCCGAAGCTCAAGCCGAAGCGCACCAGAGAAACGGCAAGGGCCCACCCGGCAGGTTTTGGGTTGACAGTGAATTTCGCTGAGCGGTGCTGTAGACTCCCCTGAGCACAGGCCACCCCCCAGAGCATCAGCCAAGAATGAGGAACGGGGGAGGGAGGGTGAAGGGTAGGGGGCCACTTGCGAACCCTACCCCTGCCCCCCACGACTTCTGAGGGGGAGGGTGGGGTTCACTTAGTTCGGAAGCTCCCGCGCGAAGTGAACCCCACCCTCCCCCTCAGCAGTCGTGGGGGGTAGGGGTAGGGTTCGCAGGTGGCCCCCTATCGGGTGAGGACCAGGGGAGGGAGGGTCAAGGGGCCACCGCCCCGAGGAGAGGGGGGGGGCGGGGGGCGCTGCGCAGCGCCCTTTTTGTTTGACCCGCGGGCCCCACGAGGCGAAAGAACGGCGCGTGCCGCCGTTACCCCCCCGGAGGTGGTGCCGACTTCGTCGGGCACCTCTCCTGGCAGCCTGCGTGCTGCACCACGCACGCGGTGCGCGTGGCGCGCGTGGCGCGCGCGGCTCTCTTGCGAGGCAAGGATTCATCCATATCAACCGCCTGGGAACCGACGCCCTGGTGCCCCAGCCGGCGGTGGATACGGATATAGTTCGGCCCCCGGGGGCCCGAATGTCCCTATCCACCGCCTGCCGAGGCTCCGAAAACTGACCCTCCAGGCGGTGGTCATGTACCACAAGGGCTCCCCACTTCGCGCTTCGCGCTGCGCGGAGCGCCAAGTGCGAATCACTCCGCGCTCCCGCGCCGCCTCCCAGGGGAGAAGAGGAGGACGAGGAGGAATCGGAGCCGAACCGCGAAGCGCGAAGCGCGACGCGCGAATGACGTCGCGCCCCCGAGGGCGCCCCTGGTAGAAGTTCCCGCCTCGGACCTCTTGGGGAGCCACGAGGCTGCAGATGCCGCTGCGGCCCGCAGCCCTTCCGCCCGTGGAGCGCGTCCTGGCCAGAGGTCGGAGGCGGCTCCGGCCGTGGCGCGGCGAGGGCCGCCCGGGAGGCGAAGACGAGGCGAGCGTCGCGCTATCGGCATGTGCTCCTCCTCCGCCTCTCGGGCCCGCCGTGGCTCTGAGGGGCAACGCCAGGCTTAGGTCGGGCGTGTCCTCCTACGGGCGGGTTCTGGACGAAACGCTGAAAAGAGGCAGAGGATCAAGAAGAGTCAGGAGAGCTCGACAAATCGTCACCGGACTACTTTGTTACTAGTCTTGAACATTCCTCCTTTAGTGGGACATGCCTGACTTACTTAACGCTAGGCGGAGACCAGCTCGAGGGGAGGGGGGAAACGTCAGCCTGGAATGGGCCCATATCGGCGATGAATGGGTGATTGGTGTTCGATGCCTGCCCCTTTGAGCCTCTCCCGTCCTCTCGTTGCCTCTGCAAGGCGCCTTCGTCGGGCCGCAGCTCACGCCGCTCCCTGGCGCGCCCGGCCTTGGGCGGGGGCCTCTGTGTCACACGGTGTTCGCCATGAGGCGCTGAAGCTGTCGCTGCTTCCGCGCCCGCTGCTCCTCCACCTCCTCTTCCCCCTCCTCGTCCTCCACCTCCTCCTCCTCCCCCTCCTCTTCCTCCTCCTCCTCCTCCTCCCCCTACTCATCCTCCTCCTCCCTCCTCCTCGTGCTCCTCATCCTCTTCTTCCCAACCTGTTTCTGCTCCCACAACTCTGTTTATCCCCCTCTTACGACATTCCTCCTCATCCCCCTCATCACTATCCCCCTTCCCACCTTCAGATATCATAAATTCACGACTCCAATCTCACTGCTACAAGAGTATACATCAATTTATCCCCCCACCTCCAACTCTTCCTCCTCATCCAGCTCCTTCCCCTCTCTCCTCCTCATCCTCCTTCTCCTCCTCTCCATCATCATCATCATCATCATCATCATCATCACATCATCATCATCATCATCATCATCATCATCATCATCATCATCATCATCATCATCATCATCATCATCATCATCATCATCATCATCATCATCATCATCATCATCATCATCATCATCATCATCATCATCATCATCATCCATCATCATCATCATCATCATCATCATCATCATCATCATCATCATCATGATCATCATCATCATCATCAGCATCATCATCATCATCATCATCATCACCACCACCACCACCACCACCATCATCATCATCATCATCATCATCATCATAGGCATCATCATGATCATCATCACCACCACCACCACCATCATCATCATCATCATCATCATCATGAGCATCACCAGCATCATCATCCTCATCATCATCATCAGCATCATCATCAGCATCATCATCATCACCATCATCATCATCAGCATCATCATCAGCAACAGCAACAGCATCATCATCCTCATCATCAGCAGCATCATCATCATCCCCATAATAATCAGCATCGCCTTCTCATTATGCATATTAGTATTCATCATCATCAGCAGTATCATCATCAGCATCATCATAATCATTAGCACCAGCATCGCAATCATCAGCATCATCAGCATCAGCATCATCCTCATCATCACAAGCATCATCATCATCAGCAGCATCATCGGCATCATCAGCAGCATCATCACCATCATCATCACCAGCATCATCATCATCAGCATCATCGTCATCTGTATAATCAGCAGCAGTAGCATCATCATCGTCATCACCAGCATCATCATCAGCATCATCATCGCCATCATCATCAGCAGCAACAGCAACATCAACAGCAGCAGCAACATGTCTCCCGTCATCACCATCATCATCAGCATCATCAGCATCAGCAGCGTCATGATCAGGATCCTGATCATGAGTATGATCAGCATCATCATCGTCCTCTTCCTCCTCCACATCATCATCATCATCATCATCATCATCATCATCATCATCATCATCATAATCAGCAGCATAATCAGCAGCAGCATCCTCATCATCAGAATCATCAAACTTATCATGAAGAGCATCCTCATCATCAGCATCCTCATCATCACCATCATCATCATCATCAGCAGCAGCATCATCGTCATCATCATCAGCAGCATCATCAGCAGCATCATCATCAGCATCATCATCAGCAGCAACAGCAGCATGACCATCATCAGCAGCATGTCTATCGTCATCATCATCAGCATCAGCATCAACATTATCATCATCAGCATCAACATCAGCAGCATCAGCATAATCATCATCATCGTCATCGTCATCATCAGCAGTAGCTTCAGCATCAGCAGCATCGTCATCATCAGTATGGCATGATCAGTACCGTCGTCGACGTCGTCCTCTGCCTCCTCCTCCTCCTCATACTCATAATCATCAGCATCATCATAATCAGCAGCAGCATCATGAATATCATCATCGTCATCATAATCAGTTTAGTCGTCATCGTAAGATTCATAGTTGTCTTCACCACCGCCAACAACAACACTCACTCCTTCTCCGCCTCCGCATCCTCCTCGTTCGTATGTCGACGTTCGAAGATCGAGACTTACAAGCGCTACCGGATAGCTGTAGTCCAAGAATGGCATGAGGAGACCCACATCTATCGGGAGACCTCCAGAGAGGGGGTGAAGCCTGCACGAGGCGGGAAGAGGTGGGAGCCGGGAGGATGGGGAAGCATGCCAATAGGAAGGCGTTTCTTTATGTTCGGCGATGACGGGCGTCATGGGGGGGGGGAGGGAGGGCAAGGGGGGGTATGACGTGACGCCCCCCCCGCCGTGTGGTTCCGGCACCACAGCCGCGCCCGCGTGCACGACGCGACGAGCGACGAGCGACGAGCGACGACGACGCGAGCAGCATGTAAGTGGCGATCTGCCAATTGCACATTTGTACACCACAACGCTTGCGTGCACCACACCGCGCGTGTGCACCACAGCGCCTGCGTACACCGCAACAGCCGTGCGCAACGCACCGCCCGCGTATACCACAATACTTGGGAGCACTACAGTGCCGGTGTACATACACCGCAGCAGCCATGTGCAACACAACGCCTGTGTACACCACGGTGCTTGCGTGCACCGCAGCGCCTGCGCACGCCACAGCGCCTGTCTACACCACAACATCCGCGTGCAACGCAGCGCTGGTGTACACCACAGTGCCTGCGTGCATAGGACAAGTAGAAAGAGCATGTATGTACGTACGTCATCTGATGCGGACAACTAAACGCTACGCCGCCGGAAGGTCCTGATAATCGAATGCGACGTGTTTCCCTCCTCCCTCCTCCTCCACCTCCTCCTCCCCCATCCTCCTCCTCGTCCTCCTTTTCCTCCTTTTTACCCCCCGTCGTGCGGCTTGGCGGTACAACGCACGTGCGCATCTCAGCGTGCACCGCAGAATGGTCGATTGAATCGGGCCACTCGGTTCTCGGACGGCCAGTTTAGCTGGAGCCTCCTGGACGCAAATGGGAGTTATGGTGATGCGGGCGGACTCGGGGGGACTCGTAGATTCCAGCGGCGCTCCTTTGTCCATGAGGATGTGTTTTCCATTGTTTTCTCTGGAATCCACACGCGTTCCATTTTGTCACAAGGATTCCTTCTGAACTTCTATACACAACAATGGTGTTGTGTTGCACACGGCTGACGTGGTGCACACAGGCGCCGTGGCGCACACAGGCACTGCAATGCACGCAGGCATTGTGATGTACACTGGTGCTGTGTTGCGCACAGCTGATGTGGTGTACGGAGGCGTTGTGGTGTACACAGGAGCTGCTGTGCCCGCAGGCACGGTGGCACAAACTGACGCTGTGTTGCACGCGGCTGCTGTGGTGTACATCGGCGGTGTGGTGTACACAGGCGCTGTGGTGCACGCGGGCAATGTGATGTACACAGGCGTTGTGGTGCATATCGCCACCTACATGTTCGTGCTACCCGTCCTCCGTCATGCCTAACCATTCCCAAACGCCGCCGGCGCGAAACGTGACGTCATCGACCCCCTCCACCCCCAGATGATTGCCGTCATCGGCCCGGACTTAAAAAAGGCTCCAGCCGCGTCCGCGCGCACAACGACGATGAGCGACGAGCGACGAACCACGAGCGACGAACCACGAGCGACGACGACGACGACGACGACGACGACGACGACGACCACGACGACGCCTGCGGACCAGACACCTATGCGGATTCCTACGCGGACACCTACGCGGATCCCAATGCGCACGGCGGCAGTGCCCGGAACGCACTGGGGGGGGGGGAGCGTTACGTCATGGGGGGGGGGGCAGCGGGGGCCATGACACCCGTCATGCCCCAAGCAATAAAGAAATGGCCTCTAGTAAAGATCGGTGATTCCAGGGATCGACCAACACACTGAACGCCCGTTGGCGGCCATGCATGCCCCGCATAATGGCGCCGACGAGGCCGTCACGTTCTCCCCCATGACATCCGCCACCGTGCCGCTGGGCAAAGAGTGGGCGTGTCCTCAGGTAGGGCGCAACATGCGGACCCTACCCCTACCCCCCACGATTTCTGAGGGACAGGGTGGGGTTGACTTCGCTCGGGAGCTCCCGAACGAAGTGAACCCCATCCTCCCCCTCAGATATCGTGGGGGGTAGGGGTAGGGTTCGCATAGGGCCCCCTATCAGGTCCGTTGACTGATCCCGTAAGCCTCAGTCTTCACTTCTGAGGAATCTTTAATGGCCTGGACCCAAAATTGCCAAATCCCCCCGTACTTGGCACGTACCCCCTGGGGTTCCCTGCGGCCTGTCGCGTGACTTGTCGGGGACCAAGAAGGCCCCAAGACGGGCCAAGAGGGCCCAAGAGACGCCCCGAGACGCCCCAAGATCACACCAAGACGCCCCGAGACGCCCCAAGATCGCACCAAGACGCCGAAGATGACCCTCAAGACGGCCCAAGAGGCCTCCGAGACGGCCCAAGAGTCCCAAGAGCCTTCCCAAAGGGCCCCGAGAGGGCAAAATCAATGGCTTACCCAAAATGTTTCAGTAATTATGAGATCCTCGACTTTTCAAGCTACCGACGCTCCAAGACAGCCCAGGAGGCCCCCAAGACCGCACAAAGACGGCCCAACAGGCCCCCAGGAGGGCCACAACACGGCCCAAGAGGCCCCCAAAACCAGAGGCGTCCAAGACGGCCCAAGAGGGCCCACACACAGCCCCAAGAAGGGTCCAAGAGGGGGCACACGAACCAAAATGCAAGTCGTCCGCTCTATGAGGCCCCCAGGAGGCCCCAAGAGTCCCCTAAGAGGCCCCAAATACCCCCTCGAGGCCCAAGAGACGCCCCAAGAAGCTCCAAAACGGTCCCTGGCCTGGACATGTAAAAACACGTGGCTCCAACTCTGGACAACAATGTTAGATACCCCCTGCGTGGCCTGAAAACGCTGAATTCGCACTCCCGCTCGAGACATCCTCGCAATGTCTTCCCTGGAGAGGCCCGCAAAGCGCCACCCCCTGTACAGAGCAAGAAAACATTACTTTTCTGTATTAGGATATGTGCTCAGTTAGCGCTTTTCGGCCCCCCGTGCGTTTCCTGATAATTCGGCGATGGGCCCGACGCCATGTTGGATATCCCCCTTGGGCGGCCTGGACACGTAAAAACACGTGGCTCCAATTCGGGACAATCATGCTAGATACCACCCTGGGTCGCCTGGACACGTAAAAACACACGGGTCCAGCACAGGACCACTATGTTAGATACCCCCCTGGGTGGCCTGGACACTTGAAAACACACGGCTCCAGCACAGGCCCACCATGTTAGATACCCCCCTGGGTGGCCTGGACACTTGAAACACACACGGTTCCAGCGCAGGACCACCATGTTAGATACCCCCCTGGGTGGCCTGAACATGCAAAAACACGTGATTACAGTTTGGGACCACCATGTTAGATACCCCCTGGGTGGGCTGGACACGTGAAAACACATGATTCCAGCTTGGGACCACCATGTTAGATACCCTAGCTGGGGACCACCATGCTAGATACCTCCTGGGTGGCCTTTTTTACGAATTGGTCGGCTCTCCAAACCTCGCTATGTTTCATGGATTCCGCACAAAACGCGCCGCACCCTTTGTTTTACGAAGGAAAAAGGTGGCCTGCGGACCCCGCTATTAATCGAGGACACGAGATGGGTGGCAAACTTTCCTCGAGCGGGCACGCGATAAACACACTTGGTCAAGTGAACATTCACACTTTACCTCGAAATTAATCGAAGAATCATTTCGCCCGCCATCTTCCCGTAGGGGCGGGGGGGTTAAACAGCTAAAAGAGAACCCTGGGCCCACGCTCCTTCCTGGAAAAATGCCCCCAAAATGATCTAAAATAATCAAAAAGCAATCGAAACATCGTCCCCAGACTATTTTGGGACTATTTTTGAATATTCCTCCTGTAGAGGGGCAGGCCCGACTCAACGATAATGCAAGGGGCCATGCTGGATCCCCAACCAAACCTCCGACCTTGTGGCCTGCCCTACAGGGACCTCGTCCCCGTCCTCCAGGTCCAGCTTCCCGGCCCGAGCCACCCTGGAGAAGGAGGAGGAGGAGGAGGAGGAGGAGAACGAGGATACCAAGGAGAACGAGGAGGAGGAGGAGGAGGAGGAGGCGGAAGCGGAGGAGGAGGAGGACGAGGAGGAGGAGGAGGAGGAGGAGGAGGAGGAGGACGAGAACGAGGAGGAGTAGTAGTAGTAGGAGGAGGAGGATGAGGAGGAGGAGGAGCTGCCCCGAGACCCCGACCATGTCGGCGGAAACACTTCGGCGCGACGTGCTCGGGCCGCCAAGACGTCTCGACAGTCAGCTGGCAAGACGAAGCCAGGACGAGGACAAAACTGGGCGAGGACAGATCGAGAACCTCTGAGATCCGGCGGCTCTGGAGGATGCCTCGGGCGCCACGGCCTTCTCGGAGCGCTCCGGAAGGCTCTGAGAGCGTTCCGGAGCGCTCTGGAACGGATCCGTCCTCGTCAGGGCCCGGTCCGAAGTTGGGCCCCAGGAGCGGCCTGAGCAGAGAGCGGCGGCCGCCGACGCGTACGTCTGCGGCAAGACCGACTTGGACAGCTTCCGCGCCTGCCCGGCGAGGGGGCAGGGCCGGGGCGCGCGACCCGCCGGGGCCACCGCACGGCCGGTCTCCGATCTGCCCTCCTCGTCCACGCTCCCGTGCTCCTCCCCGTGCGCCCCCGTGCCCTGCCCGCTCCCGCGGCGAGGCAGGGAGTCGTCCAGATCCGCCGTGCTGGTGCACCAGCGGGCGGTGGATCTGGAAATGTTTGGCCCCGCTGGGGCCCGAGCATATCCGTATCCACTGCCCGCCGACAACCCCGAAGGTCGACCGCGCGGACGGTGGTTGTGGATAAATCCCCGCCCGGGACCCGCTCGTGCAGCCTTCCTCTTCTGAGCTGGCGCAGGCGCTCGGCCGCCGCGAGACGGGCGGGACCCGCGGAAGCCTGGAATGGGACGTACAGAAACATACTAATACTATATGTCCTCCTTGGAGGCGCGCGTCCGACCCGAACATATAGTATACCCATCTTGTAGTAGATCGTTTTCCCGAGCGGTGTAGCCAGAAAGCGCCCGCCACGACGCATATACTATTAGAGTTCTCGGTGCGCGCGTCGTCCCTGGGGGGGCGACGAAAATATAGTATAAGTATGCTGGGGTGACGCCGATGGAAAGCAGCAGTGCGCAAGTATACTGTCCAGCGCACGCTCGTGCCACTGCTCATATGCCTACGGACACGCGGCCTGATTCACTCGGACCCGCTCCGTCCCAATCCCGCGCGAACAGTTCCTCCTCATCACCCCGCGGGGCGCGCGTCGGCGCGTAGGTTCAACCGTGCCTCGCCCGAAGCTCTCGGCGAGGCCCCCGGCAGCCCCACCGATGGAGGGTGAGCTGCTTTCGGCCCAGGGTTCTCGCCGCCTGCGACGTCCTCGCACTGTGGCGACCCCGAGCTCGACTGCCCCTCCCCCATTCCCCGCGAGCCAATCCTGCACGTGAGCTGCAGATGCGGGAGAGTGCAGTCGGACCTAGGCTTAGGTCGGGAATGTCCCCCTACAGGCGGATTTGGAGGCACAGTGAAAAATACACCAAAAAATATTCAACAATAGCCCCCCCCCAAAAAAAAGTACTCAAAAATCGTCCCCAGACTATTTTTCGACTATGTTTGAAGCTTCCTCCTGTGGAGGGACAGGCCCCACTAAACCTAGGCCAGAAGAACGTTCCTCAAGAACACGAGGCCCTCCGCCGGCCACGAGCACAGAGCATCCAGGGGCACTGCCCCCAGGATGCACAAGAGCATCCAACGAACACGAAGAACACTGGGGCACCCTCCCCGAACTGACCTCGATATTATGCCTTGGTCCGACTATAGCTCCGAGGCTCTGACTCTGAAGACGGTGCCGCTCAAGGGCAGAGCGCCTGCTTGATAGCATCGCCGTGAACCGGCGGTATTCGCTGCTACTCCCCTCCTTACTTTGCCTGTGGCTCTGCTGGATCAGCCAGCAGCTCGCACAGATGCCCACAAGGGAAGATGTCAGAGGGGCACAGAAGACGATAACTGCCTGACCACTGTCAGAGCAGATGCGGTCGGCAGCGAGGTAACGCAAGGGACGGGGTGGGTTTCTCCGAACTCCTCTCCATCCTGCTCCTGCGCATCCTCCTCCTCATCCTCCTCCTCATGCTCATCAGCATCATCATCATCATCATCATCATCATCAGCAGCAGCAGCAGCAGCATCATCAGCAGCAGCATCATCATCGTCAGCAGCATCAGCATCAGCATCAGCATCAGCATTAGCATCATCATCATAATCATCAGCATCAGCATCATCATCATCATCCTAATAATCATCATCATCATCATCATCATCATCATCATCAGCATCATCATCATCATCATCATCATCATCATCATCATCATCAGCATCAGCATCAGCATCAGCATCATCATCATCATCATCATCATCATCATCATCATCATCATCATCATCGTTAGCAGCAGCATCATCATTTCCATCATCATCATCATCATCATCAGCAGCACCATTTCCATCATCATCATCAGCATCATCAACATCCGAATATCGTCATCGTCGTCTTCATCATCATCAACAGCAGCAGCGGCAGCATCTTCATCATCCGCATCATCGTCATAATCAGCAGCAGCATCATCATCAGCAGCAGCATCAGTATCCTCATCATCATGAGCAGCAGCATCATCATCATCATCAGCATCATCAGCAGCATCATCCGCATCATCATCGTCATCATGATTAGCAGCAGCATCATCATCGTCAGCATCAGCAGCATCAGCATCAGCGTCATAATCAGCAGCAGCATCAGCATCATCAGCAACATCAGCATAATCATCATCGTCGTCATCAGCATCATCAACAACAACAAAAACAGCAGCAGCATCTTCATCATCATCGTCAGCATCAGCAGCAGCAGCATCATCAGCAGCAGCACCAGCGTCCTCATCATGAGCAGCAGCAGCATCATCATAATCATCATCGTCAGCATCGAATCATCATCATTATCAGAATAATCGTCATCATCCTTAGCAGCAGCAGCATCATCAGCATCAGCATCAGCATCAGCAGCAGCATCAGCATCACTATCAGCAGCAACCTCATCATCATCTTCAGTATCAGCATTGCCATCAGCATCACAGTCAGCATCGCCATCGTCACCATCAGTATCATCATCAGCAGCATCATCATCAGCATCATCAGCAGCATAAGTTTAAGCAGCATCATCATCAGCATCATCATCACTAGCATCATCAGCAGCATCATCAGCATCAGCATCATCAGTATCGTCATCACCATCATCATCAGCATCATCAGCACCATCATCGTCACCGTCACAATCATCATCAGCATACTCATCATCAACATCATCATCCTCATCAGCATCATCATCGTTATCGTCATCCAAATCATCATCCAATTCATAATCATCAGCACCATCACCATCATCATCATCCTGATCATCAGCATCATCAGCAGCAGCATCATCATCAGCCAGAGTGGCATCATCATCACCATCCTCACCATCAGAATGAGAATCATCATCAGCATAAACATCATCATCATCAGCAGCATCATTATCAGCAAACTAGCATCTGCATCATCAGAAGGGACATCATCATCAGCATCGTCAGCATCATCCTCCGCATCATCATCATCAGCAGCAACCATCAGCATCATCGCCACCACCAGCATCAGCATCACCAGAATCAGCATCATCAACATCACCGCCATCGCCATCCTCATCCACATCATCATCACCACCATCACCACAAGCATGACCATCATCATCAGCATCATCAGCATCAGCAGCATCATCATCATCATCGTCAGCAACATCATCGTCACCATCAGCATCACCAGCGTCACCATCGTCAAAATCATCATCCTCATCATCATCACCACCATCATCAAAGCCATTATCATCATTGGCATCGCCAGCGCCATCGTCATCGCCATCGCCATCGTCAGCGTCATCGCCATCGGCATCATCATCAGCAGCAGCATCATCATCGTCATCACCGTCGTCGTCATCATCATCAACATCATCATCGATATCATCATCAGCATCAGCATCGTCATCATCATCGTCATCATCACCATCGTCGTCGTCAGAGGCACCGTCATCACGTCATCTTCATCATCATGGTGGTCAACATTGTCGTCACCATCATCGGCATCGTCATCGTCATCGTCACCGTCATCTCATCATCATCATCGTCATCATCAGCACCACCATCATCAGCCAATCATCGTCGGTATCATCATCAGCAGCAGCCTCGTCATCGTCATCGCCATGTCCATCGCCATCATCATCGTCATCGTTCATCAGCATTCTCATCATCGTCGTAATCATCGTTGTCAGCATCACCAGTGTCATCAGCATCAGCATCATCATCATCAGCAGCAGCATCAGCATCAGCATCATCACTGAATCGTCAACGTCGCCCTTCCCATCGTCATCGTCATCGCCATCGTCAGCGCCATCGTCATCGTCATCACCATCGTCATCGTCAACAACAGCCGCCGTATCCTCATTCTCATCCTCATCATCCTCCCCCTACTTCCCCTTCCCCCAAACTTACGCACATCCATCACCTCGAGAACCGATGTCCCGGACCCCAGGAGGAGGCAACGGTGTCGGGCCTTTTGGGGTGGACCCCAAACATATTCATGTGCACCGCCTGCTGAGGTCCTCCGACATCGGTCCCTCAGGCGGTGTATGTCAATACGATCTGGCCTCGGGTCCACCCCGTCCTCCTCCTCAGCCTCCTCCTCCTCCTCCGCCTCCTCCCCCTCCTCCTCATGTCCCTCGTCTCATCCTCTTCCTCCTCTTTTTCATCCTCCTCCTCTTCCGCTTCCGCTACCACTTCCGCTTCCTCTTCCTCTTCCTCCTCCTCCTCCTCCTCCTCCTCCTCCTCCTCCTTCTTCTCCTCCTCCTCCTCGACCCAACTCCTCCCTCCTCATCCCTCCTCCTCCCTCCCCCTCCCTTCTCCTCCCTCCTCCCTCCTCCTCCCTCCCCCTCCATTATCCTCCCTCCTCCTCCATCATCCTCCCTCCTCCTCCTCCTCGGCCTCCGCCTTCCTCCTCCTCCGCCTCCTCCTCCGCCTCTTCCTCCTCCTCTTCATCTTCCGCTTCCGTTTCCGCTTACACTTCCCCTCCCTCGTCTTCTTCCTCTTCCTCTTCCTCTTCCTTTTCCTCTTCCTCCTCCTCCTCCTCCTCCGCCTCCGCCGCCTCCTTTCCCTCCTCTGTTTACTCATATTCCTCTGCTTCTTCTGTTTCCTATTATTAATATTCGTCTTAGTAGAATGAGTACTCTTATTCGTATGGTGAGTGGTACTACGATTAGTCTGAGTATTAATATTATTCACATTCGCATTACTAGTATTCGTCTTCTTGTTTTCGTTGTTTGGTTCTTCCTATCAGCAGTATTATTAGTGGCATTATTCTTATTAGGATTATCCTTAACATTACTAGTAGTACCCCTCTTCTCAGCTTGATTCACGTACTATTGTTCATCTTATTGTTCCGAATATTAGTGTTATTATCCGTATGCGCATGATGCGTCGCGTCGTATTAATATAAGCTTGCCTCATTATTATTGAGAAGATACGCATTAGTTAGTAGTATGTTTATTCGTATTGTTATTACGATTCGTATTACTCGCATTACCCGTATTCCTCCTCCTCCTCCGCCTCCTCCTCATCATCCTCCACCGCCTCCTCCTCCTCTTTCTCATCCTCTTCCTCCCCCTCCTCCTCCTCCTCCTCCGCCTCCGCCTCCTCCGCCTCCTCCTCCTCCGCCTCCTCCGCCTCCTCCGCCTCCTCCGCCTCCTCCGCCTCCTCCTGCCGAACCGGCGTGACGGGCAGCCGAATGCCACGCCCGCGCGGTCGACAACAGACTGGCGGGCAACGACGACGTGCTCGGAGCCGAGCCGCCTGCCGACGTCGACGGCGCAACGGCGGACGAGAATCGTCGGCCAGCGCCGCGTGCTGCCCCGATAGGGGGCCACATGCGAATCCTCCACCTGCCCCCCACGATTTCTGAGGGGGAGGGTGGGGTTCACTTCGCTCGGGAGCTCCCGAGCGAAGTGAACCCCACCCTCCCCCTTAGAAATCGTGGGGGGTAGGGGTAGGGTTCGCATGTGGCCCCCTACCCGAGGGCGACGGAGGAAGCGACTGCAGAACCACCATATTGGATTCTCGACACAGCGGAAGGCGCCAGGGCAGCACGAGTCGACGAGCGCGTTCCACTGCTCGCAAATGGCCTGGGTCCGCCGCGGGGGGGATCGACGAGAGATCGCATCGAGGCAGACATGTGTTTATCGGAGGTTTGCGAGTAGGCACTTTGCGAGTAGTGGAACGGGCTCGGGGAACGAGATGCGCGCAGAGAGGGAGAGGATCGCCATGCAGAGCGCGTCGGCGCCGCAGGGCCGGAGAATGCGAGGGGAACGGCAAGAACCTCAGTCTGGCCCCTCCTGAGGAGGCGCGCACAGGAGGGCAGCTCCGCGGGACAGCCCGGGCAATGCGACCAGCAGCCCGCACCAGTCCAAGGCAAATATTACATCTTACTTCGGCTAGTCAGAACCCGATTTGCAATCGGTGCGAGAGCGCGGGCGGCGCACTCGCCAGCGAGCTGGGAGAAGGAACGAGTCTCCAGGCTCAGCCTCAGAGCTCCCAAGCGGCTCCGAATCTGGATGGTTTCCATTTTTACCCCCTGGGGCCACACGCCCCTGGGTAGGCTAGGGATCTCCCCCGCTCTCCGTGCCTTCCTCTGCCGCGCCCCTTGTTGCCTCCCTCCTCCTCCTCCTCCTCCTCCTCCTCCTCCTCCTCCTCCTCCTCCTCCCTCCTCCTCCTCCTCCTCCTCCTCCTCCTCCCCCTCCTCCTCCTCCCCTCCTCCTCCTCCTCCTCCTCCTCCTCCTCCTCCTCCTCCTCCTCGCCTTTCTCCGGGGGCGGTCCACTGCCTGCCCAGCGGGCTTGGGGCCCTGCTGGGGCCATCTGCGGAGGGGAGCCACGCCTTCAGGCCACTGCGTAAATCTCCTCCTCCTCCTCCTCCTCCTCCTCCTCCTCCTCCTCCAACTCCCTCCTCCTCCTGCTCCTCCTCCTCCTCCTCCTCCTCCTCCTCCTCCCTCCTCCTCCTCCTCCTTCTCCTCCTCCGCATCCTCCTCCTGCAATTCTCCTCCTCCTCCTCCTCCTCCTCCTCCTCCTCCTCCGCCTCCTCCTCCTCCTTCCTCCTCCTCCTCCTCCCCCCTCGCCCTGGGGGGGGGAGGGGGGGCGGCGGCCCGCTGGGCGGGCGAGGGGCGCCTCCGCCCGCCTTGGGCCGACAACAAGCCCCCTCCAGAGCGCCGGCAGGTAGGCGCGGGCGACGGTGCGAGCCTCGCTTCCTCGGGGAGAACAAAAACCAAATATTGAAGATACCATACGGGAACACCATATAACAATAACATACCGTATACTATACCATAAAATGCACCACGGAATAACACATGGCTACAAGAATGCATCACTAGAAAGTAATAAAATATACTGCACTGTGCGGTAGTACCATAGTTTGTAATGCTGCTGTCCAGTGTAATATAGAATAGCATATATATTACACCCACGAGGCCGAATGTACCATCATATGATGTCATAGGCTCTACCAAAATATACGATGGACTAGACTATGACACTATATAACACCATTCAAAGCAATAGAATACAAATACTATAGCACATACAGTAACAAGCAATATTCAAGTATACAAATAGCGGGTGATCGTATATGAACTAACAAAACATGTTATGCATTCATAAGAGTATGATGAAGACACGTCGCCCAAATAAATTGTAATATGCGAATGCCCAGTATAATATGACAAAACAACGCATGCGATAACGTGAAGCCGTACTACTAGAATACGCTGTAATAGCATGATCAAGCACCAATCAAGCACAACGAGTTTCACTAATGTGATACGTATTTATGAAACTAGACGCTCTGATACCGTAAAACGACATGACACTACAAATGCCTTGTGATACGCAAACATATGATAATGCAATATGATACTGAATGGTACTACATGGGGTACAGAACTGGACTGCAAGTTTGTATGCCATGTTATGATGTACTGCCGTAGAAAACACTATCACAATCTAGCATGTGAAGGAAGAAGGTGTACTAGAACAAAACATGATACAGCCTAACACAGTATACTAAAATACAATATGATGCAAAATGGCAACCGCGACCCACCCACGACCCGTCCGCGACCACCCCGCGACCCATCCAATGCTTTAATAAAAAATCGGCGCCTGCGGCGGGTTCGCTGTATACGTTGTAAAAGTTAGGCGCCTGCGGCGGACTTCTTCAGAGCATTGCAGACTGCCGACGTCCCCGCGGCCCCCTCACTCTTATCCGCGACTGCGGGGGGCTACGTAAGATAGCATAACAAGTCATGTTGCAATGCAGTATTATAATATACAGTGTGAAATTATACCCGATCATATAATAGGATATACATACAGGTGTACATATAGGTGTGTGTACTACATATATACGTATATGGATATATACGTATATATATGTGTATATATATACAACCATATCTATATCCATATATATATATATATGCGCACACTCACCTTACACGATTCGTTGCCGCATAGTGAGCTTCACAGAAGGCTCAAAAAGCGTGAAGCTGCTTGGCACGCTGCGTGGCCCAATAGGCCCCAACTGCATGGTGTTGCATGCGACTCCCCACGCACATCTGGACTCCAACAACTTGGTGCTGCATGCGGCTCTCCACATTCTAACACACCCCTCGCACGTTCTGCAGCCCCATGTTGAGCTCCACTGAAAGCCTCAACAGAGCAACGTGGTGTTGCATGCGGTTCCTCATCACTTTCGGCACGCACCTCACACGTTTCGTGGTCCCACAGGGAGCCCCACCGAAGGCGCCAATATCGAGGTGTCGCATGCAATTTCTCGCCCATGTCGGCACACCTCTCACACGCTTCGTGGCCACATAAGGAGCTCCACCGAAGGCCCAAGAAGCGTGGAGTTGTTTGCGGTTCCCCACCCATTCTGGCACACACCTGACACGTTGCATGGCACAATATGGAGCTCCACCGAAGGCCCGAACAACGTGTTGCATATGGTTTCCCCGCCCGTTTCGGCATATGTACCCATCAAGCGCTTCATGGCCCCACAGGGGTGTCCTCCCAAGGCCCTAGTGGCAGGGCCTGCATGCGTCTCCGCGCCCATGTCGTCACACCCTATCACACGCTCCGTGGCCCCAGAACTAGCTTCACCGAAAACTGTGCCCCCAACGCGGAAAGTGCTCACAACAGCAAACGGTCGGGCCCTTCGCCAGGAGAAGTTCTCAGGACGTTGGAGGTCTAGGAATGTTGCCTCGGAGCGGCATTCGGGTTGACCCAAAAGGGGGTCCAGCGACAAGGGGGTGGTGCAACAGATTTGGTGCAATAGATTTGTGGGGTTGCAATACATCTTGGGCGTGCAACACATGTCGGGGCGCAGATATATTGCTGCATTTTCGCGTGCAATACATTACTTGCAATACCATGCAAAACGACTCTCCAGCGCAATACATTGGCAATACAATGGCCCCAAATCTATTGCACCACCCCCTTTCAGCTGGACCCCCTTTTGGGCCACCCCGAGGCATGCTCAGGAAGACCATCCCGTTCCTGACGCGCCTCCCCACTGACGAGCCCCGCGCAGGATCCGCGAGGCAGGCACCACACCTCAGCGACGGTCAGAGACGCGTCGCACGCGAGGTGGCACGGCGACCTGACGCGGCGGCTTACGTGGGCCGCCCACGCGGCACGCCACCCTGGAGAAGAGGGCGCTTGCGCTCGACCTTACGCGAGCAGCTTACGCGCCAGTGCCGGCGCAGGGGAGCCCGTGTTTGTTGCATCGCTCACCTGTTGCCCTGATAAACGGAATCCCGGGGGGCAAGAGAACATACTCTTGTGATTACACCGGCCTTGCATCTGTGCTGCAGCGCATTTTTGCGTGGATTTCTGCGTGGATGTTTTCCCGAAGCGGCGAGCGAAAAACGGAATGAATTTCGCATGATGTTGGTTGGGGGGGTCTTCGGTCCTGGCCAAAAAAAAACCTCACGAAATTCACCTCCAAATCCGGAACGATCTTCTCCAGGACACTCTGGGCCCACCTTATCGTTTTCCGAACGAAATCGGCTCTGCAATGTTGGCGCCATGAAAAAAAAAGGTCTTACGCGAGATGGCACAGCGCCTTTATACGCACCGGCTCACGCGGGCCGCCAGCTCGGCACGCTGCACTGGAAACGAGGGGCGCTTTCGCACGACCTTACGCAAAACGTACGCGCGAATGCCGGCACAGTTGGATCCGTTTTCTGCCGCCCATGTGAACCTGACCCCCTGCAGGTCAGATCAAAGACATCTATCTAAAAAAGAAGAGTAATACATATGTATAAGTTGATTTAAATGTTTTTTGATACAAAAAAAGAAAAGGCCAGAGGACAGAATGTGAAGGAGATCTGCAGCCAGGTAAACTCCAGTCTCCGAAGGAGGCACCAGACGTCTGGCGGACCGGTCAAGTGGCGCTCGGGTAGGAGCCCACCGTCTTCAACGTGCCTTGGGGCCGCCTCCAGGCCGCGGGGCCGTCACGAAGCTGCCGCAGGAGAGTGTGGCCGAGAGATCTGGCTGGCGGCTAGCGGCTCGAGGAGAGTAAAAAGAGGGGCGGAGGTCTGGGCTGCCTCGGGGGGGAGGGGGGAGGAGGGAGGAGGGAGGAGGGAGGAGGGAGGAGGGAGGAGGTAGGAGAGGGGCGAGCACAGGGAATCAGAGACGGGCGATCGGCGTGACGGAGACGGAAGCAGACAACTGTGGTAAAATGAGGAGGGAAGGGGGGAGCGAGGACGACGAGGAAAAGCAGTGGGGTGGGACCATGGGACTGATTCTTCAGCTCTTCCTCCTCCTCGTGCTCCTCCCCTTCCTCCCCCTCCCCTTCCTCCTCGTCGTCCTCCTCCTCCTCCTCCTCCTCCGCCTCCTCATCCTCCTCCTCCTCCTCCTCAATCCCTTGTCCTTCGCCGCGCAAAGTAATTTAAATGTCAGCTACATTGCGAGGATGTCGGGCAGGTCGTTTTCAACATGTCACCCTCGCCTTGGCGCCGCGCACATAGTGCCAGGACGCAACAATTGAGTTGATTCGCGGGGTTGACATCGCCAGACTGGTCTTCCGGTATGATTCAGGACTGTGAGGACGCAGCAGTTGCGTTGATTGCGTTGATTCGCGGAGTCAAAATCCCCAGGTTTGCGTTTCGACACCATCGAAGATTCTCAAACGGTTCTTTACAAGGGCATCCCCCGCAGTGGAAATAAATTCTGGTAGGGGCCTACGAAAAGGGAATTTGGAGGAAGGTTTTCTGGCAACGTCGTTGAGACAACCTGGGGGTGCACAGGTCCTCCTCCTCCTCCCACTCCTCCTCGACCCCATCCTCCTCCTCCTCCCCCTCCTACTCCTCCTCCTCCTCCTCCTCCTCCTCCTCCTCCTCCTCCTCCTCCTCCTCCTCCTGCTCCTCCTCCTCCTCCTGCAGCAGCATAATCATCATCACCACCACCACCACCACAACCATCATCAGCATCATCATCATCATCATCATCATCATCATCATCATCATCATCATCATCATCATCACCATCATCATCATCATCATCATCATCATCAGCATCAGCATCATCATCATCCCCGTCATCAGTATCATCATCGTGAGCATCATGAGCATCATCATCAGTCTCATCCCCGTTATCATCATTGTCATCGTCAGCATCATCACAACCATCATCACCGTCATCATCATCATCAGCATCATCATCACCACCACCACCACCATTATCATCATCATCATCATCAGCGTCATCATCAGCATCATCACAATCATTATCTTGTCATCGTCATCGTCGCCATTACTCCTCATCCTCATCATGATCATGATCACGATCATCATCAGCATCAGCATCAGAATAATCAGAATGGTCCTTATCAACAGCATCACGCTCATCCTCATCCTCATTCTGTCCATGTGCATCACAACCATCATCATCATCATCATCATCATCATCATCATCATCATCATCATCATCATCATCATCATCATCATCATCATCATCATCTGCAGCATCGCCATCGTCCTCGTCATCGTCGTCGTCATCATCATCCTCATCAGCATCATCATCATCAGCATCATCATCAGCATAAGTATCGGCATCAGCATCGTCATCATCATCATCATCAGCATCATCATCATCAGCATCATCATCAGCATCATCAGCATCATCATCATCATCATCATCATCATCATCATCATCATCATCATCATCATCATCATCATCATCATCATCGTCGTCGTCAGCGTCATCGTTATAAGCATCGTCATTGTCGTCGTCAACATCATCATGATGGTCAGCAGCATCAGCATCATCAGCATGGTCATCGTCATCTTCATTATCGTCTGCATCATCTTCATCAACATCATCAACAGCATCATCAGCATCATCCTCATCATATCCTAATCATCGTCATCGTCATCATCATCAACAACATCACCATCATCATCACCATCACCACTCGCCCCCCCCCCCCACCGTTCTCCTCCCTACATTATCCTCCTCCTCCTCCTTCTCCTCCTCCTCCTTCTCCTCCTCCTCCCTCCTTCTCCTCCTCCTCCTCCTCCATCCTCCTCCTGCATCCTCCTTATCCTCATCCATCATCCTTATGATAGTGATCAGCATCATCACCATCATCAGCATGGTCATCGTGGTCATCATTATCAGCATCAGCAGCAGCATCATCATCATCATCAGCATCATCGTCGTCATCACCGTCATCATCACCATCCTCATCCTCATCCTCATCCTCACCACCACCACCACCACCACCACCACCACCGTCATCATCAGCAGCAGTAGCGGCATCGGCATCAGCATGATCATCCTCAGCATCATCACAATGATCATCCCCATCATCATCAGCATCGTCAGCATCATCCTCATCGTCTGCATCATATTCATGGTGATGAAACTAATAGTAATAATGGCATCATGAAAATGGAAATAAACATAACAATAATACTCATCATCATCAGCAGCAGCATCACCATGACCATGACCATCACCATGTTCAGCATCCTCATCATCATCCTCATCCTCATCCTCATCCTCATCATCATCATCATCATCATCATCATCAGCATCATCATCGTCATCATCATCATCATCATCACCATCCTCATCCTGATATTCATCATCACCACCACCATCATCATCATCATCATCATCATCATCACCATCATCATCCGCAGAAAAAGCATCATCATCGTCATCCTCATCCTCATCACCATCATCCTTTCCAGAATCATCATCGTTACCATCAGATGTGTCCTCATCATCCTCATCATCATCATCATCCTCATCATCATCATCAGCATCATCATCATCACCATCACCATCATCATATGTATCCTCATCATCATCACCATCACCAGTATCATCATAGTTATCCTCATCATCCTCATCACCAGCAAAATCATCATCGTCATCATCATCATCATCATCATCATCATCATCATCATCATTAGCATTAGCATCATAATCAGAATCATCACTTCTCCTCCCTCCCTCCTCCTCCCTCTCCTCCTCTTCCTCCTCCTTCTCCTCCTCCCTCCTCCTCCTCCTCCCTCCTCCTCCATCCCCCTCCTCCATTGTCCTCCTCCTGCTCCCTTCCTCCCTCCCTCCCTCCCTCCCTCCCTCGTCCTCCGAGAACGAGGGCGAGGAGCAAGCGCAGGCGGCGCGTCTCCCGGCAGCGGCGCCGTCAGGGGCCACACGGCCGCCTCCAGCAGCTCCCGCAGCAGCTGCTGTGCGGCCGAGCCCCTCGCCTGCGCAGGACTTTTGAGCCGGGGCGGAGCGAGCCGCGCCCTGCCCTGGAGTCGCCGTCGCCGTGCAAGTGCACGTCTTCTTGGTCGGCGTTTCGACACACCCCTCACGAGGATCGTGGCCCCATGCCATAGGGGGTTCCACCGAAGGCCCCAGCGGCAGGGTTTGCATGCGTCCCCCCGCCCGTTTGGGCACACCCCTCACGAGGATCGTCGCCCCATCGGGGGTTCCACCGAGAGCGGTACCCACAACGCGGTACTCATAGCTGCATATGGTTGGGTCCTTCGCAAGGATAATTTTAGTGGCCGTTTCGACGCTGGGCCAAAGAGAGGTTGGAGGGGGGGTCGAGGGAGGGGGGGGGTCTGGCTCCGGACCTCTGCTCGATGCGACTGTTCGCAACAGTGCGTCCTGTGGGGGAGGGGCTCCACATTCTTGAAGCAGGCTCCAAGAACAGCCAAGATCTACTCCATGGGTGGGGGAAGGGGTGAGAGGGCCTGCGCCGATCGGCAAAACAATGAATAAGAAAACGATCACCAATAAGGGAAAAATAATGAGGCAGGAGGAGAGATCCGAGGAGGACGAGCAGGAGTTCCAGTGCGAAGAGTTTTCGTGCTTGCTAGAGATTAACGACACATGTTCTGTTTCCGGTGCTGTATGGACCGATGTCCGCGACCCCAGCCCGAAAAACATTCGGAATCACGTTCTTAGAAATTGTGAGGGTGCCCTGGACACGCAAAGAAAGAATACACTAGACTCTTCCGCCCGAGTCCACCATCCTGAGCACATCGCAACGCAGACTCACGCTCCCCAGGCCGCAACCCCTTGCAACCTGCTCGGGCTCGCAATCCCGAGGCCACAACCCCTCGTAATTAACTTCAGACGCACTCTCGCTGCCGAGGCCACAGCCCCTGGCGCCCCGGCCGAGGATGTCGGTGACGACGACGACGACGACGACGACGATTAGGTCGGGCGTGTCCCCCTTCAGGCAGATTTTGGGCGAAAGCGCAAAAACACTCCAAACATACACCAAAATGGTCAGGAACTCTTTTAAAAACGGTCCCCAGACTATATTTTGACTATTTTTGAACATGCCTCCTGCAGAGGGACAGGCCCGACTTAAAGACGACGACGACGACGACGACGACGACGACGACGACGACGACGACGACGACAAGGCGACGGCGGCGGCGGCGGCGGCGACGACGACGACGACGGCCGCCAGGCCTGCAGCTCCCACGGCCTCCTCGCCACGGCGCCGCCCGCCGCCGCCGCGCCGCCGCTGCAGGCCGCCCGCGCCTCGCCGCGGCGGCGGCGGCGGCGGAGCGGCGGCAGCGTCGACGACGCCGAGGGCGATGTTGCTCCCATAAGGGGAGGGGGAGGGCAAGGGGGAGGAGGAGGAGGAGGAGGAGGAGGAGGAGGAGGAGGAGGAGGAGGAGGAGGAGGAAGATGAGGAGGAGCAGGAGGAGGAGGAGGAGCAGGAGGAGCAGGAGGAGGAGGAGAAGGGAGGAGGAGGAGGAGGAGGAGACCACATCCCAGAAATAGTTTATTCCGAACGCCCAAACAAAAACATCGGAACAGCGCCGAGCGAGCATGGCCTCGCAGAGGCCGGGCACGCGAGATCCCTCCAGTTTCGGTACTGGTGTTCGGTGCTCGAAGTTCTTCCTGGTGATCAAGGCTAAAGCAGGTTGGGACATCGGGCAGGGAGCGCTGTCGGCGGCTCAGAGATGGGGCCCTGAGGGAGTGGGCCCCGAGGACTAGAATAAGAAAAAAACATAAACATAAACTGTTGGCGCTCCGCGCGGACATCTTGGATCCGCGCTGGTCCCCCTCCAGCTGGCGCGCAGCGCGCGCCAGGGGCGGCGCTGGAGGCGCCGCCGCCGGGGGGGGGGGGGCCAGGCGCGAATCCGAGAAGTCCGCTCGGAACTCCAAAAGTCTGTTGATGTGGCTTGTGCGAGGAGGAGGAGGAGGAGGAGGAGGAGGAGGAGGAGGGAGGAGGAGGAGGAGGAGGGAGGAGGGAGGCAGGCAGCGATGAAAGAAGTGTCAGGGTCACTGACACCCCCCAGCAGGAGCATGAGAAGCCAGGCAGGTGGGACATGGCCACCCGTGCCCAGCTCTTATGTGCAGAGGCTCGGCCACCAACTCAGCTGGAAAGAAGTGGGCTGAGAGTGGCGAGGCATAGCACACGCATCAATCGAACGATAAGGGTTCGCCCGATCGGGGATGCAGGCCCCTGAGGACCCTAGAAATATTGCTCTCCTCGTTGGCCCGCGTTGAGGCCACGGGAGAATGGCCTCTACAGGCCTTCGCCGTGAGTTTCGGATTGCGACCACCGTTAATCGAAAAGGCCCCGCAAGCCAAACAAATAATGGCGGGGCCGAATCGTTCGGCGGGATGTCCGAGAGAAGTGCACACCTCCACCACCCCGTCAGCATCAGCAGCGGCAGGCAGCACACCCCCTTCCTCCTCATGAATCGGGCCTCCTGCGGCTTCGACCGCCACCTGCACCGACGGTGTCGAGTCTGACACGTAGTGCTGGGGGGTCAACCTGAAGAAACGCTCAGCCGTGGCCCGCTGAAGGGCCGAGGGAGCGCAAGCCGAGTTACGCAAGAAACGATATGACAGGGTGGTGCGAGCGAAACGGTTGCACAACAAACACCTGTACTCAGAAATAGCTTTACTGAACATCATCGTGTGGGATGTGACAGCAAGCGAAAGAGCGGGGGGGGCCTTGCGGGGCGCTGGGGCGCCGGCAGCTGGCTGCAGCTGCTCCGCCTTCCGCGCGGCCGCCTGGACCATCCAGGCGAAGGCCTCACCGTCCTTACGAGCGACCTGCAATCTGGATTTGTGCACATCAACTAGGACCTGCGCCACAGCATGGGACTGCGAGCCCAACTTAGCAAAATAATCGGCCCATTCGTTTCCGACAAAGTCAAAAACTTCGGCCGCCCCTAGGGGCAGCACGTCGTCCAGGGAACGATGGGCGCTCGTCCAGCGAAAGAGGGGAGGCTCCGACTGTCCAATATCGTGCCTTATCTGCCTCCAGATAAACGCCTGACGAGAAGCACCAGATTCACACAAAGAAGAGAGCTGCTGGCCTGTCTTCACCAAACTGAGATGATCAGACACAATCTCAGCTGGGCGCGCTGCGATCTGGATGGCTCGCAGGGCGGCATAATGCTCCGCCCTAGGGACGGTCTGAAGCCTGCCAGGAAGCGGGCCGTAGATCGCTCTAACAACACAGCCTGACTCATCAAGTTGAACCACGGCCCAGCCGCAGCGCGTCAGGCCTTCCATCGAATTCGCCAGGCCTGACCCGTCCGTGTACACCCTCGGCCCCCAAGCTCCCCGCCAGTCACCCCACCCCATCGTCGGAAGCGAGTCGGCGACTGGCTCTGGAAAGGGCGGCAAGGGCGGCAGCCCATAATTTAAAAAGAAAGCCTCCTTGCCATTGTCTGTCTGGTAGCTCTTGACCAAGCTGGCACGGTGCTCCAAAACGTCGTCGGGCAAAGCTTCTTCAGGCCTACACTCAAGCATGCCATCGCAACCCCACCACTGGTGGGCCTCGGTGCCGACCTGCTCTTTACACACAAAACACAACGGCGTCGGGCGCAAATTAATCGAATGGAGGCGCTCAGGAGTCCAGACCCCCGCAGCCCACAAGGACCGCAGCGCCCCACGACGGCCCCCATCACGGAGAGCAAGCACTGATTTCCGAAGCGCACGACGCCAAACAGTGTGCCCCTGGTTGTCGGGGAAATGGGCCAGGACCCTCGCAACCTGCCATCTTCGAATTCCCTGCTCCAGAAAAATGCGCACGTCCTGAGGACATACACGGAGCAGGTCGATGGGCCAGCCCTCGTCGCTCACTAAGGTGGTGGGTCCTGACATTGACCAACCTATCCGAAGGAGCGTATACCAAACCGAAGAAATAGGACCCCTGGCAAACTTCCACGCTGGATTGTGCTGAATTCTGTCTTTGATCGCGAGCCGAGCTCGAGCAAGACGTGAAGGAACGACCCTGGCTTCCCAGACACAAGTAGCAAACCTCACAACAAGCGGAACCGAAGCATCGAACACAGGGTCGAACCTATCGTCCTTTTGCGTGCATAGATAGGTAGTGAGGCAGGACTTGGGCTTAGCTCCTACCATCCCTCCCGCAAACGTACGCAGCTCGCGGAGAGAAACATCGGACACACCGCTAACGCCACCTCCGTGGCTGGCTGCTGGGAGGAGCCCCGTTCGCCAAAGGGCCTTGACGGCCTCAGGTTGAGCCTGACGGAGCCCCCAGACTTTACGCCTCTTGGACTGCAAGACTCGAAGTCGGGCCTTCTCTTGGACCCGCAGAACCTTGACTCCGTGCATCTCGTGCCCTAGATTACGCATGCCGTGCTTGCTGCGAAAACCTAGCTGCGAAATGTGCCGTGCGAATGTGTCACGGGCGGCACAAGTGTTGGCCACAAACCCACTCTTATTCGCCTGCACACGCAATCCGAGGGGGGCAATGTCATGGCAGAAAGACTGAACCGCCTGCGCAAGCACATGTGAGCTCTCTCCTGGATCTTTGCCTTGGCGGCGTTTGCCCACCCAGTTAAAACTCACGTCATCCATCAGGTCCCTGGGTTCCACAGATGGGAATCGCTCCACCGACAGGTTCAAACTTCTATACAGAAGCACCGTGAGCAGAGTGGTGGCTAGAGAACACCCAGCTAAGATCCCTTGGGCCGTGGAAACCGAGTACGACAAACTACCGAAGGCTCTAAGGGCTCTAGGCTGGGTGTAGTTCTGGATGGCCATCCAGGCCAGACGGAGCGGGAACCCTGTGGCCTTGGCCTCCCTCAAGAGGGCCTGGAGGTCTACACATTCATAACATTTCACCATGTCTATGAAAACAGTAACACAATCCTCTCGCAATTCGTGCGCAATCTCCGAAGCTAAATTTAAAGAGAAGGCGCTGTCACTGGACGATCGCCCTGGACCTGTCCCCCACACCGTGGGATGCGCGTGGTCACGCTCCCAGGCGACCGCTGTTGGACGGCGAACACGTCCCCAAATCCGAGTGAGGGTGTGCATTAGGGCGATCAGCCTGCAGCCGCCTGTGGACTTCGGAATACGCACAAGCTGAGTAAGTATGCGAGACGACGGCCAAATCAGAAGCTTTTCACATCGCATGAACAAGCGCGCCAGCGACTCCAGGCCGGCGTCCGAAACGAACCAGAACGCGCGGGGCGCGAACTCGAAGTGCCCGATGCCCGTGGTCCAGGGGAACTGCAGGATCGCACGCTTGATATCGTCCAGGGATATATGTGGTAGGTCGTCCCACTGATCAGATGCGTGAGGTACTGGCTCAGGAAGATCATGCATGTGCCATATGGCGTCCCACTCTCGCATAGCTCTGTCCGCCATCTTGAATGGCTGCGCCTCCGAACCAGGGAGCAGGCAGGCAGCACAAACTTCCTGAAGAGCACGGCCTCGAGTGTGACGGTGTGCGAAACGACCTCCACCTTTGAACGACGAAGCCGCCCACTCTCGCCAACACGCCAAGGCTGTGTCATTCTGGCGCTTCTGGCACTCGTCCGCTCGACCGATGATGCTCTCAATCATGTCATTCGCACGACCACTGGTGACGAAACCGATGTCCATGTCGAAGAAGTTCCGAGCGTCATCATCCAAGGCGTCGCGTAAAGGATCGTTGCGAATCCTTGTCATGAACTTGGTGATGTCCACTAGCATACGAGCAAACTTGTCGAAAGCCTTGCTGGACATCGTACCCGCCCGCTCCTGATGGCATAGCAGCACAGCCTGATTGACAAGGCTCTCTTTGTAGCGGCGTAAATGGCGGGCCCATCGGCCTGCTGCTCTCCAAGCTCTGTCTCGTGTTGTCTGCTCACCTCTGCGCCTAGGCGGCCCCCACCGCAACTTAGCGTACTGCATTTGGGTGTCTCCGCCTCTGCCTCGGTAAGCCTCAGTGTGAGATCCGACAATGTCATATCTGGCAAGCAACTCAATCTCCAACTGTGCCAAGACTGCGCCCCATGCTGCACTAAATGTGGGATTATCAATCGCTTGATCAATAATACGATTGACCTGGCACCAGTTCAAAGGGTATCTAGAGCACCCAGGCTTCGGCTGTCTCGAAGGGCGCTTCGGGCTGACCAACGTGCGAGTCTTCAAAACAACATCCTTCCCCATGATAGGTAATACCACTGGCAGGTGTGGGAATGTGTCTCCATTTTCCTGCACATACGGGCGGCACGTTCTGGGGAGCAGATTGGTGGTCATCAGGAAATAGTCTATCGTCCTGCCTGGCAACGACTGCCTGCACGTCGAAACTGATGGGCGCGTCAACACACCTCCCAGTCCATACAACCATTCCATGTCTCCGAACTCGGCCTGCTCCAGGTTGAAGTCTCCCGCGACGATCCAATCAAGACCCATCGCGTTGACAACTTCAATGTATTCACAGATCTCTGCCAAGATGCGAACGTTATTATCAGAGAGGCCTTCATTCACATAAAGATATGTTGAAATCGCAATGAATCCTCCAGGCACCCCCCAATGGACGTGGGCTGCCAGCGCTCTCCCATTCGCCATGTGGGGCGTCGAGCGCCCTGGGGGGCCGTGACCAGCACGTCTCCCTTCGCCAGGATGGCCAGGCCCGCCTGAGTGCCCTCCTGGTTGCCCGTCTTGGTGGCCGAGCTCCAGACTCCATGCCAGCCAGGGTCCTGAGCTCGATGCTGCAGATCTGGAAGACGATCCTCTGCGACGTGGTGCTCTTGTATAGCCACCACAGTGTGCTCGCAGGAGTCGAGGAAGCGCAATAGCTGGCCCTCCTCAGAGCAATTGAAAGTCACAATAGAACCCTTGCGGTCAGGAACATGATTACCAACTTCATCTGCACCTGTGTGAGAAAAGGGGAATGGGCGGCCCCAAGCGTCATCCTTGCCATCACCTCCGCCAGTCGTCCCAGCTGGAAGCCCAGCAGATCCGATGCCTGAGCAAACCTCCCCGTAGTCGTTGCCGCCCAGACGGCCTCCGCGGACTTCCTCGTCATCACCTCGGCCAGTATTCCCAAACGGTGGCTCGCTGCGGTCTCCCGCTGCTATGCTGCGGTCTCCCGCTGCACTGCCGAGAGCCTCGGTGCGAAGCCAGTGCCCAGCAGATCCGATGCCTGAGCAAACCTCCCCGTAGTCGTTGCCGCCCAGACGGCCTCCGCGGTCTTCCCCGTCATCACCTCGGCCAGTATTCCCAACCTGAAGCCCGACAGATCCGACCGCAGAGCAAGCCGCCTGGGAGCCAGAGGCAGCAGCAGGCCCCTGCCCTGCTCGTCGAGGAAGCAGTACGTCTCGATCGGCCGCAGACAGGCCGACCTTGCTGGAGGCCTTGCCTCGGCGCTGGCGCGCTCTCGCCTTAGTCATGGCCTGCTCGCGCGCTCCAACGCGCTCCAGCAGCTGGGCCCTCCGCATGCTGCGGGCAGCGCTGGCCTCGGCCAGGGCCGCGGGAGAGCGGCTGGAGCCTGCCGCCGCCGACGCTTGCCCGAACAGCGGAATGGCATCCAGCCCTCCAGCAACCGTGCCGATGGTGCCAGATGCCCTTGCCAGCGGCAGGAGCGCCAGGAGCAGCAGCGCGCGCAGCAGGCTAGGCAGCAGACAGCACCTTGGCCCTCTTGACCTCGCGCCAGCCGCCCAGCGCGTCGGTGATCTTGCGCACCTGGCCGCGGAGTTCCTCGCACTCCTGGGACGGGTCCACGCCCGAGCTGGAGAGGAACTCGCGCAGCTCCTCCTCGGTCGCCGTGTCGGGGTCTGGGAGGTCTGGGCCTGCCTCCGACCCCTTGGCGCCCTGGCTGGGCACAGGCTCAGCCTTGGCCTGGGTCGCCCTTGCCTCGGCCGCAGCCTTGGCCTCCTGCGCTGCGGCCTCGACCTTACGCTGCTCGTACTCACGGACCTCGCCCAGCACCGTGCCAAGCTTCTCCGCGAGCACCCCGCTGTCGCCGAGCTCCGCCAACATCGCGCCCAGCTTCTCGTTGGTGACGCCGAGCCCCTCGACGATGTCAGCCTTTGGCGAGACGCCTCCAGCTGGTGGACGAGGGAGCGTGGCGGCGAGCCGCGTCTGCTCCTGCTGGAGCTCCAAGCTCGCCGCGTCGGACTCGGCGAGCTGCTGCGTGGCCTCATCCACCTCCTTGTTGGCCTGCACGACCTTGTCCTTGGCTGCCTGCAGGGCCTCCTCCTGCTTGGCGCGCTTCTGCTCGAGCTTGCCCAGCTTGAAGGACAGGGTGCGCAGCTGCGCTTGGACGGGCTTCGCAGCGGCCAGCTCCGCGCTGAGCTTCTTGCGAGTGTCCTCCAGCTCGACCCGAGCCGTCTCGAACAGGAAAAAAAATCGAAAAAAAAAAAAAAAAAAAAAAATCTCGAGCTGCGATGGCCTCCGCGCAGCGCAGCGTCGACCTCCCTCAAAGGCTCGCCCCTCTCTGGTCCCAAAAAAAGAAGAAACCATAAAAAAGCTCCAAAAAAACGACAAAAAAAAAAATAAAAAAACAACAAAAAAAAACCAATAAATAATGAACCAAAAAGGGAGTCACCCTGGCCCTCACCGTGCTCTGCGCCCTCGTCGACCTCCATGGACGGCGCGTGCTGCTTGCTGGTGGTCTCAGCCAGCTTGGCCTTGGTGCTGGCCAACTCCTTTGCCAGGGCCTCCAGCTTGTCGTTAACCCACGGCGGCACCGCAGCAGAGCCGCGGAGGGAGGAGGGAGGAGAAGGAGGAGGAGGAGGAGGAGGAGGAGGAGGAGGAGGAGGAGGAGGAGGAGGAGGGAGGAGAGGAGAGGGGAGGAGGGAGGAAAGGGAGGAGGGAGGAGGGAGGAGGGAAGGAGGGGAGGAAGGGAGGAGGGAGCCAGGGAGGGAGGAGGGGAAAGGGGAAGGGGAGGAGGGAGAAAAAGGGAGGAGCCCAGGAGGCAGGAGGCAGGAGGCAGGAGCAGGAAGAGAGGAAGAAGGAGGAGGAGGGGAGGGGAGGGGAAGGGAGGAGGGAGAGGGAAGTGAGGAGGGGACGGAGGGAGGAAATCGAAATCGAAAAATCGAGCTCTGGGGGCATTAAGGAAAGATCAGAATTGTCCACTTGGGCGAAAAGGGGCTGGGCCCCATCTGCCAACATTCGCATCAGTTTACAAATACAATCTGCTTGCTACTAAGCCCTGAGGACCCATCAGGGGACTTTGCAGTCCTGCCGTGCTGGCAGGAGGTCTGCTCTGGCGATCTGCGGCACTCTCAGTTGTGGAAGACTGAGAGGCCGCCTCGCACCTGCATGTCACAGGGTAAACCCCCTGTTAAAAAGTTTTTTTTGTCCACCCTCGAACGCCCAAGGGCGAAACCCGAACGACCGAGCCACCGTGGCCCGACAAACAGAAGGAAAAACACCGAGGAAAAAAACCGAGGGCCAGGAGCGAATTCCGAGGGTGGACGAGGGCACAGAAGCTAGAAAAAGTTCAAGAACTAGGCGGAGGGTGTGGGGCCTCAGGGTTGCTCGGAGCACTCCCCGTCCCCCTCCCTCCTTTCTTCGGTCGGGCTCGTGGTGGCTGGATCACCGTTGCTGTATTCACTGCCTGTCTGATAGCTGCTTCAACTGGAACATATCCTCTCTCCACCAATTCCAACAGTCTCTCTGAAGCCGTCGCTACCTGTACTCTCTGTACGTGCGTCAATCTCACTTTGGGCCGACCGATCTCTACTCCTTCTTGCCCTTCCCCTTCTTGGAGGACCCTGCCTCGAGCTCCTCGAGCAGGCTCTGGGCGGCCCTCTCGAGAGGGCCGCGCGGGGGCGGACCGCGTTTCTGGATCGCCTGATGGGCCAGCAATATGCGGACGCACACGCTCTGCAGCTCGTCGTAGCTCTGGTGCATCGCGAGGGATATTTTGGCCATCTCTGATTTGCCTTGCTTCTGCTTGGCCATCTTGCACTTGCAATATAGTACTTTGCCCAGCAGGTCTCCCGCCTTGCATTGTGCCCCAGCGATCTTCTCCATATAGAACTGGGTGAGGATCTCGGCGTCGCGCTTCCCGATGTCATCGTACTCGCCCAGTCCGCGGAGCATGGCCGCGAAGATGTGGATAAAGGGCGGGCCGAGCTCCTCCTGTTTCACGGGGTCGTCGGAGCACCCCCGTGATTTCTCGAATTTCTGCGGCGTCGGTGAGCGCCAACTTGGCAAGCACGATCAGTAATTTGCTCACGGCATTGACCTCCTTCGCGTCGCCGCCCAGCAGGTCCGAGAGGAGGCGGGTCTTCTTCTGGCCCCTGGTGTCGCCTCCTTCTCCCGCCCTCTTCAGGCCCCACGTGGGGTCGCCGAAATTGAGAGCCATGACCCCGCTGAGCAGCTGCGTCCGCCAAACAGTCCAGGGGGGGCAGGTGTGTTCTGATGTGCTCCTGTAGCTCTTCAAACGTTTGAGCCCTATGATCACAGAGGTGGCAGTCCACTCTGTCTGGATGCATTCGTCCTCCAAGAAACCTCGACTGGTCATTACATCGGCCTCCACGAGAAACTGCAGCGAGTAAATGTCTCTGGGCCGTCTTCACGCAACTAAATGTGACCAGGCAATAGGGGCGCACGTTCGTGCTGACCGCGCGTGTCCATATATCCCTCATACCGTGCTTGGCCATCCTGTGCTGTGTGACCCCCTTGTATGTAGTCAACGTGCATGTGCATGCTGTCCCCGTCTCATTCCGATACCCACATGTCCATTGAGTAGTGCATGCATGAATACTGGGGCGCGCGGGTCCAGGAGGTGGTCGTTGAGCAGAGGGCCAGCCAGGGGGCGGAATAGCACTCATATAAATCCCCCTTCGTAACATCGTGAAATCCTGCATCAAAAACTCATGTTTCATTTCGTCATCTGTGAATAAGTCCAGCCATCCCGTGCGAATTTGACTGCCCAAGAACCCTCCCTCATCATCGAGTCCTCCTACACCCTACAGAATGTCGTCTCGCATCTGTTTCGCACATGGGTTCGCATCGTCCCGCAACTCGCTCTCCTCGATCGTCGGATCTGTCTCGAAAGGGAAGTGACCGAAGAGGGAGGTGAGCATCTGGCCGTTTCTCCACTGGTGCCCGAGAATAGTCTGGATCCTCTTCAGGCGGCGCACTCGCATCTCAAGCTTAGCAGGGGCCATGTTCCAGTACTCCAAGACCTGATATGTACTCTTCGAACGATGTTGTATCGCACCGTCATGGGTCTCAATCTGCTCACGTGCTTTGCCTTGCATAGCGCGACGAGCATATCGTGCAACAAGATGATCAAGTTCTGTGCACTGCTTATCTGAGCACACGTAGGACTCATTTCCGTGGAGGGCGGCATTCTGTACACAACATATTAAAAGCGTGCGTTTGATTCTGTACGGGGTGTGTTTCAATGACCAAAAACTTCCGAGGGAAGAATAAGCGGCCGCCACGGCCTTCTTGCGAAAATCAAACTCAACAGCATAACTACAGTTGGCGCCCACACGGGCCCCTAAGTATCTAGCATTAGTCTTAGGAGGGGCAGGGAGGTTGACTCTTCCAGTCCTCAGGGCTCGTGCCTCTGACCCCGCACCTACTCCAGAGAGAACAGGCAAGATTTCCTGCTTAGTCATATTCTGTTTGCACCCGATTTCGGCCAGGGCCCGATCCAGGAGAAAATTGGCTCTCTCGCTGACCGCAGCGAGCTCCTGCAATCCCTGGTGGGGTCCCGCCAGAAAAAACTTCAGTATATCATCAGCATACAGGCTTAAAGATGTGTCCACCGCCCTGTCTATGAAGGGGTGTCGTGCCACAAGTTCGTCCGTTCCCACCCCCCACGCCTCAAGCAGCCTCCCCCACTCCCTGATAGCCGTCTGAAAGGCTTCAACGAATTGGCGGACCACATAAGGGTCTCCCATGAAACCTCCACATCCTGGCTGGAAGAAACGGGAACCTTCGGCGCATGGGAGGGTGACTGATGCTTCCTCGAAACGCTGGCAGCCTAATCTCGCAAGACCGTCCTCCATCAGCTCAACTGCTGCGGCCCTCATGTCAGGCCAGTTGACACTTGCAAAGGCATTCGTGAGGTCATGCAACTGCACAAGTCCTGCGCGGCCAGCGCGTCGAGCGCGCCACATCATGATTAGGACATTCGCGATGGCATTCTCCTTGCATCTGTGGGGCAAAAAACCGTGCACCTGGGGGGGCATTTCGGGTGACTCCGAGCGGGTGGAATACCAGCCCTTGCCAAGAGGAGAAAGGAGGTGAATAGTTCGGAGCCCCGACGCCGTCTCCCCAAACACAGTGCCATCAGATTTCTTGGCCCACGACACCCCCATGCTGGCGTGCCAGTATACAGGGGTCCTCAAGCCTGTACGAATTCTCAAACAGAAATCCTCTAAATGCTTCCTGAAAAGAGGCGCTTCTAATTCTGGTTCTGAGGCACCTAGCCCTCTGCTACGATAAGAAGCCACCGTGGGAGGGACCAACAAAATCGCTAAAAGTTCAACTGGCGCAGCCCACGAAGGGACCGCTTTCCTTTTTGGGGCTCGCAGGGCCCAGCGCTCGAGTCGAAAAACATCACGCTTAGCTTTCAAACGCTGGGCCTCATTCAGGGGGCAGGTGTCCTCAGGTGTGATCGGGGTCCTGGCGCGGGCCCAACGTATCCATGACTCAATCTTTTGTGCTGACATCCCGCCTTCAGAGCCAGGCCGTTGTAGTTGCGAAAGCCATTGTTCTTCTGCAGGTGGTGCGACTTGAGCGGCGAGGAAAGGTCGACGTTTGGTCCCGTATTTTGCTCCTGCCGCTCTCCTTGCCAGTCGATACACATCTCGTAAATGTCGCTTGCGCCAGCTTTCCCACAACTCATCCACAGCTCGGGCCTGAAACTCCTTCCACTCCAAAATTCTCTCACGTCGCATATGGCGGGATAGTGCACGTAGCTCCTGAGAAACCTGTTCTGCTTCATATCCGATCGCGTTGGCACGTTCTGCTTCAGCCACCATCTCCTCATACGTCGGCTCCGTCGACGAAGAAGACAACCTCTGTGTTGCACATGTGCCGTCTAACATGTGGCCGCCACCCTGGCGCGCCATGGCCCCCCCGAATCCCCCCCCCCCCCCACCCCCCCCCCCCCCCCCCCCCCACCCCCCCCCCCCCCCGACCCCCCCAGACGAAAACCCCCCCCCCCCCCCCCCCCCCCCCCCCCCCCCCAGTCAAGTCTTTGCTGCGTGCCACGCGAGGCAGGGAGCTCCCAGTGGCTAGCCCTGTCGCGTGGCAAGACCTCCTGGGTTGAGGGGCTCGTAGACAGCAGGGCGGCGGCAATGGGGTCCCAGTCCTGAGCGCCGTCCTTCACGTCGCCCAGGGCCCCCAGCTGAAGTCGCAGTGCGTGCCGTCGACGTAGTAACTCTCTCCGATGTTCTTGCAACGCTTGATATCTCTCATCCCGTGTGTTCTCCTTAGTAAAGAACTTTTCCGCTTCTGCTATCATGACGCCCTCAAGTTGCGAGCCATAGCTGTCAGGTAATTTCTTTCCAGCAAAAGACGTGAGTACCTCTTCCTCTTCTTCTAATCGTACCTCAACTGCCAATATATATTCATCTCTGATCGGGGGTCCACGAAACGCTTCCATCATCACATCTCGATTCCATTGGATACGCTGCTGTCTTTGCTCGTGTATGTGCCTCCAGGTTGGCACTCTAAACTTGACATGTCCTCTTCTTCTAATCGCGCCTCAACTGCCAATATATATTCATCTCTGATCGGGGGTCCATGAAACGCTTCCATCATCACATCTCGATTCCATTGGATACGCTGCTGTCTTTGCTCGTGCATGTGCCCCCAGGTTGGCACTCTAAACTTGACATGTAAGAACATATGGTCCCTGCGAGCCTTGGCGTTGATTAATTGCAGTTGCCGTGACAATGCACTCAGTGCGCCAGCCGTCAGTGTTCCGTCAGCGGCCAGGCTCTGTGGGACACAAAGATAATCAATCAAACTCTCGCCTTTGTCTCCATACCATGTGCTTTGTCCGTAGCGCGCCGAGACTGCATGAAGGTGGTGTGCTTCAAGGAGAGCACGCACGAGCTGACCCGCAAGGTGTTCAGGTCTCGAGCCCATGTGGCTAATCACAGGCGTTTCAATTTCTCGATGTTCGGGGTCTGGGGTCCGTCCCATTCCATCGTTAAGGTCCATGCATATAATGGGTATACGTATTGAAGGTATTTTGCCCAGAATCTGTGCAGCCCAATCGTGCAAATATCGTACACATCTGTCGTATTTTGGAGCTTCTGCCTTCGTCTTGACCCTGGGCGGGAAATACAATCCCAGGAAAGTGAAGTCGTACATTTTAGAACTTACCCGAACTGCTAATCCCCGTCCTGCTAACTCTGGTCCAGGAACCCATATCTGTCGTAGGTGTTTCTGTTTGATTTTGCAGCCGAAACTGAAGTAGATGCCCGCCGTCTTGTTTGTATGTTTGCATTTTGCCCATCCTCCCTCAACGTGCCATCTCTCTCCCATGCGGCGCTGCTGGACTCGAAGGTCGGCCCTTGATCCAGATCCTACCACCCCCACGGCGTCAAAGGCGCGGCAGCTGAGGTCGATGTCTTCCTGGCGTTCGCGGCGGGACGAAGAGAGAGGATTGAAATGGCCGAATCTCCATGTGTGTGGAAGATAACGTTCGTGGTCGTCCGCCGTCCCTGCACCTCCCCCCAGTTCTCGTGAACATTTCTCCAAACGTAGCTGCAGACATGCCCCTGCGGCCATGCAGGCCACCAGCAAGAACATCAGTGCATTCCCTGACGAGTCATCTGCTACTAAGTGGGTCAGGGTCTAGCTGCCTTATCTTGCTCGATCCGAGCGGCAGCTGAGGAGGGAGGAGGGAGGAGGGAGGAGGGAGGATTTTTTTTTTTTTTTTTTTTTTTTTTTTTTTTTTTTTTTTTTTTTTTTTTTTTTTTTTTTTTTTTTTTTTTTTTTTTTTTTTTTTTTTTTTTCCCTTCAACCCCTGAATGCTTCTTGCCACTGGTGGGGCGTACCCTTGGCAAGGCTGGGGAGGCGGGAGGATTGCGTTGAAACCTCCACGCCACCCTCCCTGACACCAGGCGTTGCAGGCAGCAGGGAAAGCCAGGGGGCTGCAGTCGGGGGATGTGCCACACCCCCCCGCACCCTCAAGGCGAGCCTCGAGCGGCCCCTCACCAGCTGGAAAGGTGAGGAACCACGAGGAGAGATTAAGGGCTGATCCCCTAATTCGGGCGGCAGGAAAGAAGAGCGCACGCACAGCCGCCGCAGCTGCACGAGCGTTGGACACCTCCTCGAGCGCGCCGCGCACGAAGCACGAGGAGGGCCCAGGCGGCGGGGCCAGGGGCGACGCTACCTGGCCACAGCAACCGCCAAAGTCGAGCTACAGTCGGGATAGAACTACCCCCGTGCTCGCTGAAGAAAGCCTCACACACACGGAAAAAGAAAGGCCCACACAAGGACGACGAGGCCTGCCCCAGGTGCTGGATGCGCCTGGACGACATAGCCTCGCCCCAGATGTAGAGCCAAGGAATAAACGAGAAATAGAAAGGCCGAAGGCCACAAACACAAAGCTAAACTAATCGGAACTGTCAGACTGATCCTGGCGTCTCCTCGCCAAGAAAGTGGGACTGTCCCGACTCGGCCCTTGATGGGTATCTCTCCTCTGCTGAGACATACTGTGGAGAGCGGCGGCTTCGGCCGTTTCCGCCAACGAAGTACCTACAGCGCGCCTGCGTTCGTCTTCTTCCGAGTCCGAGTACGAGCTAGCGCGCTTACGAGCAGGCCTCACGGAGAGAGGAGGGGGGAGGTCAAGGTCCGAAAGGAGGAGAGGGCAAAACACTGACAGTTCGCGTCGCTTAGGGTGGCCTCCACGAGCGACGACGGACCAAACCCACTTGCCGAACCTGGAGGGCTTGCCAACACATCGCTCCATGAGGCCCTTAAAGCGGCCATGGGAGGAGTAACACTTACATGCCGTACATATGAGCAGGAGTGCTTGGTCACCGCATTCAAAGGCGACGCAGCGGTGACCAAGAGAGGCTATCTGCTCCACTGGCAGGTCTCGTGGGCCAGGGCAGACGCTAGGCGGAGGCTTACGCGGCCACTTTTGACGGACAACTTTCAAGCAACGCTCACAACGCCAGAAAGTGCCCAAGTGGAGCCAGAGGTGACTAGGTCCCGCGATCCGCACCGGCTGCTGAGGCTTAACGTATTCCACTTCACCGAAATCTCGCAAAGACTGAAACTT